ATTTTTTTTTTCTTGTTTTTTCTAAATGAAATGAGCGACAGGAACATGTTTTATAGAACTGACACTAAGTAGAGGCAGAACAAGAAGGCCAGCGTCCTGCTTATCGAACTGTTTGGGTGCTTCAGACGCTGGTTAACAACCACCTCCTGTATTTAGAGCTCCTGCTCACATGCTCAGTTAAACGTAGTAATAATCCACAAAGGTCTTCCAAACAGATGATTTTGTATTTAGCAATGAACGATAAAGCTGACAAGCTCGTGTATTCTTGTCTGAATGATTATTCTGATTAAAAAAATATATTTTTATATCAAAATAAACACCTGTCAGACTTTGACATGTCAAAGGAATCAGTTACTTTTTCAGAAGAACAGTTGTGTTCATCACATTGATCAGAACTGACCCCTTGAAGCGTAGATCGCAGGTGCCCCAGAAACAGTCCAGCACAAAGTAGCAGGACGTGAGCTGCAAGCTTGGGCACGGCACGCTGCCTTTATGACCATTAAAGAAGCTGGTGGAGAAAGCATTTAAAATGGAGCATAATTTAAAAATTGAACACCGACTGAAAAATACTTTGTGTGTATTTCAGGAGCTGCATGAAACCATTTATAACATTTCTCATTAATGAAGGCATCTTTTAAATATCTCTGAAATGTGCAGTGACTCTCAGCGGTCCCCAGGACAGCCCCCAGCTGGCTCCCCAGGCATGGCGTCAGACCAGGTGGGGTTCTCCCCGATAATGGACAGAGAATCCGAGTACTGGAGCTGGCCCTCCCTGAGGTCCCTGCCGCAGTATCCTCGAGGCTTGACGAGGATGTCGCCTTCAGGGGCCACTGCTGCCTGATTTTCAGGACCAGAATCAAAAATGCTTTATTAAACCCGAAGGAAATTATGGGTGACAGCAGGCAGCACGCTAAATGGTGCATGCGCACATACAGACGAACCCTCTGACCAAACTTTACACAAACATCACATTGGGAAGACAGGTCAGAGAAGTAGGCTGATAGGAAAAAAACAATGAAAATACATAACATGAGGTGAGAGGAGGAGAAAGAAACTCCACTCAGACTGAGCTCCTACTGGGAGAACAGTTTGAGAACAGAAGAAACACCCCAGCACAAAAAGCACATGACTGTCAATACACCATAGAAACACAAGACAAGCAACAGGGGCGGGTAAAGGGTAAGAGAGAGCCGGTGTAGACAGGGCATCCGGTCCTGCAGCATGTCTGCGCTGGTCCAGTCGAACGCCATCTGCCCCGGGAGGGGACAGGCATCGAAGGCGAAGACCAGGTATGACTGATTGCTAATACTTTATTTATCCCAATGGAAATTGTTTTAACGCTGCCAGACGATCCGGCGCTACCATGAGCACGCCTTCCAACTACACATAGAATACATAAACATAACATTGGGAAGACAGGTCAGAGGTACCAAAAAAACGTTGCAGGCAGTCGAGGCTCCTACCGCCCTGCACTGATGGTCCCCTTCCTGCAGACGGTTTGCTGCCATGCATGGCTGAGAGCAGATTGCCTGTGGGCCCCCCTGCCCCTATTGGATCTGCCTCTGGTCACCCCCCTAGGGCTTCCTCCTGGGGAGGGCTGCATGTCCTAAAAGGGAGGTGAGGGTGATGGACTCCCTGTTGGCTGAACTACACAGGGCCATGGCAACCCAGGCTTGTCTATCCAACACGACGGCCATCTTGTCGCTCCACTTGCGGCACTTGCCTCGTCCGTTGCAAGCGAGTCCTGGGGACGCAGAAAGTGCAGGGGAGCTGGTGGCTGCTTCCTCGCTCATATCCTCGCTCATGAAAGAGCAAACCATAGCTACCGGCTGCTCTTTAGACTCATTCTGGATGGCACGCCACCACCTCTGGCTGCCACAGTCCTGGCTCTGGCAGGACAACCGGGACTACCTGATGAGGTTAGCCGGTTGACCCTACAGCCATATTCAGACCAGTGGCGACCCAGCTCCTGCAGCAAGCTACAGACAAACGCCATGCTGCTCAGGAAATGTCACGGGGCTTCTCCCTCCTCCACTTGGTCCTCCGCTGAGTCCAGACTGAGGATGTGCGGCTGGTCCTGGTGGCCCCTCTCTGGCCCCACATGCCCTGGTTCTCAGCAATCCCACACCTCCTGGATGGCACACACTGGGAGCTCGGAGACGTGTTCTGATCAAACTATCAGTTTCAAATTTATATGTAAGCTTTTGGGCGTGGCCGAGGCAGAGTGTGTTCACGCCCCAGCATAGGTAACACCAGGTGTCTTTGCCTGGTTATATAGCAGTTTATTTTGACAAAGCCAGAGAACAGCTTCTCTTTTTTGTGTGTGAACAACAAAGTACTGCAGAACAGGGCTGGTTAGCATGGTTGTGGTAGAACATGCTAACTCCTGGACCTGGCTGTCCAGCAGGTTCGATCTCGGAAACCTTTTTGTTGCTAGGCCATGGTACTAACAACTGCACGCCAAAGATGTCAGATTTGATATATCACAAATTGACAAGAGTTTATACCCTAGGAATATATAAGATACTATTAGCTGTCAAAGGTCACATTTTCACCTGACAGGATTCGTCAACTTAAGACCATGAATACAATGATGGTAATTTAACCAGTAATCTAACCAGTACAGCTCAAGTTTAAAGACGGGGTGGACTTTATACTCTGTTACCCCAACGCATCCTCAGAATGTGGCAGGGAAAATGCTCTACTTTTGAAAACAAATAACCTTTTAGTTCTTAGCCTCAATGGCTTGAGGTATTCCTGTCACTCTACCCAGGTGGGGTTCTCAGACACTCAAATTTGTGAACACGATAACCTGAGAAACGAGGTGATGTAGGATTTTCAAATTGATACTATAGGTGCATCTGCACTGACAATGACCTCAAGATCACTTTCAATTCAATTCAATAGCGTCAAATCAGAATAACAGTCACCTCAAGTCACTTTATATTGTAAACTAAAGACCCTACAATAAGACCCTTACTATAAGCGAGCTCTCGCCGACAATGGGAAGGAAAAACTCCCAACAGGAATAAACTTCCAGCAGAACCAGGGTTAGATAACCCCACCATGACCACCCCTAACTGGTCTTGGCAATCACTGGACAAGACCAGTTAGGGGTGAGGGGAGAACGAATGGACAAGCATACACTGTGGAAGAGAGCCAGAGATGAATAATAATTACTTGTACATACTCTAGGAACCACAAGTAAACCTACAGTCTGATAGCAAAGTGGTCTGTTGGGGTGGTACAGTGGTACTATGAGGTCTTTACAATATGATTGAGCCTAGTTATTCAAGACTTTGTGTTTGAGGAGGGAGATTTGTAATCCAATTACTGATTTAACAGGTACCCAGTGAAACCACTCTTCACTGGGTACTCTGGGACAAATATAATTCTTTTGTTGAAT